GTGATAAATTCATAGCCACGTTACCGAAACTGGAGATTTTTTGACCGTCTTTCCGACGTTTCGAGCAAAAGCATCACTGTAGAATCGATATTTTCTGAAGCTTCCAGAGGACTGAGCAGATATGGCCTGTGTTTGAGCAGCCAAAATCAGCTTTACTTCTCAATTGCTTCAAACAGACTGAAGTCCAAAGCATGAATTACATTTTAAAGTGTGAGCAATATTGGTATTTTGTGATAATTCAAGTGTGTTAAAGATAATTTGCCTAATTTCTTCATTCCCTTCTGTTAGTTAAAGTTGTTAGTTTTGCTGAGAGTTATGATTATTACACAAAAAGTCAATTTCTTCCTGCTCATCTGGAGTAATAATTTGGATAGATCTCCGCGAATACGTAACTGGCAACAATATTGCTACGAATTTTGTACGTATATGAATAATTTTAGTGATTTTAGTATTCTGTTGCATAACGTAACGTGAAAATCTAAAGAAGCGAAGCATGCCGGAGAAGTTATAATAATAAATAAAGTCTATTGGCATTGAGTAAATCGCTATCTCGTTAATTTGGCGAGATACTGCCAAGCTGGCAACAGTTTTGGTAACTATGTCGCCAAATTTGGCGAGAAATCGCCAAAAGTCACCAAATTTGGCGACATCTGGTCCGGCGTTAATAGGTATCGTAACTGATTAATTGTAACTCATGTTTTGTGTAACTGTAACTGTATTCGGCCCTCATATGCCTTCCAGTAACTTCGAGAAGCAGAAAGTACTAGAAAAGTCTCCCCTGCGAGATTAATACTATATAACAAACACGACCACTGCAGCTCTCCGACACCTTAACTGCCACTTGCGAGCTACTTGCAATCCTTTGCGAATGATTTTGAATAAATATAGTTTAATTTTTTAATACAAATGGAATTTGGAATAGAAATCATGCAGTGCTACGTTTCTTTATTAATCGCTGATTTAATTTCTGATATTATGTATGTAAAAATGTGACAGATTTCAAACTGCCCACTGCTGGCTATCGTCAGAGCAACAAATACGTAAAACTACAAATAATTCCATTTCTGGTAATTGCTATTCCGGTTATGTTACTTTCTGAACAGGTAATAGACATACGAAGTTAATCTAAAACGCAATGCTAATAATTTTGTTTAATTATTCTTCCTAACATTTTTTTTCTTTTTTTACCTCAGGCAGTTTCTTCTTACATTTCTGTGTGATCCTATTGTTCACAACAGTTGTGATCCACCTGGAAGATTTGCTATTCATTGTAAGATACTATTTTTATTCAGTCCTTGAATGGCGTGAGTGACTGCTGAAGAAACCTGTTTTGCCTTCCAATCTATATAGAGCTCTTTTAATCTGTGGAAGTCTTTTATAAAGATTTTATTTCTGGTTTCGTGAACCTTCAGCCTCTTACTTGGTTACTTTTCTGCAGAACTCCTTCAAAATTAATTTCCTAAGCAAGTCAGTCATTTCTATGCAATCGCTTCACAGATTTCGCAACCATTCACATTAATATGCTTAATGTACACATTTCTCACATGAAACTCTATCTTTCGTAAAAATTCCTTGGTAATCCTAGGCAGAGGTCATAATTTATTTCACCAATGGTTGTGGATGCCGAAATATTTGGAGTCGTGGGAAGACTCACTGGTTTGACAACGATTTAAATTTTAGTCAAAATGTTTAATTCCCATTTTATCAAATATTGTTATTCCAGACAAAGATCTTTCACCTTAATCATCAAATCTTCATATCAATAATTTTGCATCAAGCAATGAAGGATCAACAGAACACAAAAGTTTCTCCAAAGTTCCGGTCAAAATCGACATATTGATATTAGTGAAATTTCTAGCTTCTGATATTTTCTTGCATTTTTCGATTTCTTGTATTGATGACCTTTCTTTCTACCTCGCACTAAGTTACAGGCATTTTTTTTTTGCACTCATTTTGCTGTCCGCCTATCTAAAATTTTTCATCCTTTAGTACTGCCGCTCTGCAGCTGCCCCGGCTCTTATGTCAGAGTTACATGTCTTTCAATCTGTTGATATTTTTGTCTTCTTAATTTTCGATCATCATGCAGGAATGACACGTCATTCAGGAAAGCTTAATATCCATGTAGGGTTTCCCTTATTTTGAATAACAAATTATTTTAAGCTGAACTCCTCAACTTTACTGAACTCCTAAATTTCCCCCTCTCCTTTTCTCGCCAGAATGTAAATTTAATGTTATTTAAATGTAAATTAATTTAAGTTAAATGAGTATTTAAATGGGTGAATCTCTAAGTTTATTCAGAGCGCGTTTTTGCTAGCCAGCGCACGTTTCGTTGCTACCTCGCTGTTACGCTAGCAAGCCTCTTGGCCATTTCGGATTATCGTCTCGCCTGTTAGGCTTTGTAGAGTCAACCTAAGTTTAGACTTATGCTGCGCTATTTTATTTTAGATTTGACTTGAATTATATTCTACGTTTCAGCTTCACCGCAAGCTGACGGCGCCATTGTAAAGAACGAAGAACATACCTTTCTGTTGATTATTTGAATTAAATAAAGGGTTATGTTCACCCTTCTCCAGTGCTGGTATTTCATTCACGCATGTACGAGAATTCTCCTGGTTCACTGTAGGGTCTAATTTAGTTTATGTGGAATAGCAGAGACAAATCTTACAGCCAAACGAAAAATTGTACAATAATCCACCGCTTGACCACTATAAATACCGGGCAAATGAGAAAGTTTTCTCCCATAAACGTTTAAAGTCTGATCCTTTATTTTCTAAAATATCCCTTGCTTACAGACTCCATTTCAAACTCAATTTGAGATTTATTTTCTGCTTACAGATTAAGTAACCCATTGGAAAGTTGTAGTATGTAACCGTTAGGCTGACAAGAAATTATTTTAAATTTTATTCTGAGTTGTTTTATTTAGAAATTCAAGACGAGACGATAAGTTACTGGACCACTTTTATGGGTCCAACATTTAGAATATGATGGATCCGTGCATCTTTTTGGCAAGAGTGGAAATCCGTGCATAAACGGAAAGACGTCTGCAGTCTTACAAAAGCCCTCCACATTGAACATCTGTGCGTGTCCATAAAAATATAAAGATTTACGTGTTCATGTTATATCTGCATTTGGGATATAAATTAGTTATATCACTCACAGGTGTGTTTTCTTTCTGTAACGTTAGTTTTGATTTGCCACGCAGTAGAAGAACAGCGCGAAACTAAACAGTTAGTTTGAAGAATTCGCCTGGTTAGACAGATGGAATATGTGCTCGACGAAGCGTTTATATAGTCCTGCATGAACTAGTAGATTTATTAGCAATAGGTTATGTATGTCTAAAATTATTGTAACGATTCAAGAGGTGGTTTCGAGAATTTTTAATGATGCGCATGAACTTCGTTATCTATATCCAAAATTATCAGCATGGTTCGAGAGGTAGTTTCGGGAATTTTCAATGATTTGGATGAACTTCGTTATCTGTGTCCAAAATTATTGAGACGATTCGGGAGATAGTTTTCAGAGTTTTTAATGATGCGCAGTGTGCTAATTACTAAAAATTTCTGGCATATTCCCGTTGGATACCACGCTGAAATACTCAATCAGTCAGGGCCGTCATGAGAGGTACTGATTAATCAAATACTACTGAAACTGCAAGCACATTCTTTTTTTGGTGAATTCTTGTATACTGGGCATGAGTAAAAGTAGTTATTCCAAAGTTTTGCAAGAAACTGTTTAACGATTTCTTAGGTTAGGATCCAAAGATTCGAATGATCTCAGTATGTTGGTCCTTATGTTAATTGTGTGGAGAAACAAAATTACTTTTTAAGCAGAAGCATGAATAAATTGATAGCTTATTTTTGAATAAATAATTTTTCTCGAATAACAGTTTCTTTGCAGTACACGTTGGCATGTATCATTTAATTTATCTTTTCTAAAAGACTGCTCATGAGTTACAAAAACACTCAGTTTTTCTTTTAAATAATGATTTGTAATTTATTATAACATTTTTCATTTAACTATAGACCAATGAATATGCTTTCGATTCATTTTACTTCTACTAAAATAAAACAACAATAATTATAAACGGAAAGGTATAAAGGAAATCAGAAGAAAGTATTTAATTTCTCTGTCTGAAGAAAAAACGCTCAGTTCCCCATTACAAGAATTGCAAAATTTTATTTTCTTGAAACTTATCTTTCCTAAACGCAAAAACAATAAATATAAGATGTATTTATTCATATTTATATGTAATCATCTGAATCACATATTCATTAATTTACTTCAGAAGTTTATATTCAAAACCTGACTCATTATTTTTGAAACGATGTAAATTTGGACTTGCGGCAGTCGAATTTTCGTAAAATCTATCAAGGGGCTCCCACCGTCTTAAAGCTTGGCCATCCTTGCTATATAAGATCGGAGTAAGCAACAGTCCCTCAGTTGTTGTTAGACGTTAGTTCAGTATATTATGTTCGGAATACCTTTGCTCTTTAGATGCACTTTGCATCGCATTGTGTTTAAAGTTCTCAGTAGTTTGAAGTGTAACTACTGATTGTACTCTGCGATACTCTGAACGCCTGTACGAATATTTCTCTGGAAAGTCCCAGAATTCTGAAGTGTTTATTTGGATATAATAAATTTTATTAACTTATCATTGGACCAACCTGTGTGCATTCAATGTAATACGAACCCGTACGTACGAAAAAATATTATGAAAAATTGGTATGGAGTTAAGGAAAAATATTATGCCATCATAAAGATAAGAAATTTACACTAAAAAAAAAAAAAAAAAAAAAAAAAAAAAAAAAAAAAAAAAAAAAAAAAATGCGCAATATGTTCCTGGACATAACTCTGCTAATTTCTAATAATTAGGAAGGACTACTTTTTTTAGCTGCCAAATCTGGAACTTGTCTTGATTACTAGGACGAAATACTAGAATGTTAAACTACCATACCAATAGTCGCTTCAAAAAACTAGATTGAGAAAATGGACAAAAATAATTTAATTAATTTAGTGAATTTATAGGACAAAATTAGTATACATACTGTTGCAAAAGTCTTTCAGAAGAAAAGCATCGCCTTCGTACAGATAAAAAGGTTTGCAATCACAATCATTAATCTCAATTTTCGCCTCGCACATAACAATGCTGTATCGCACATAACATCTGTAAATTGAACAACTAAATTTTACTTTATACGGAAAATCTTTATTTTCCGTATATCTAAGATTACAGAAAACAATAGCGCCTTTAGCTAAGATTTCGTTTAATAATCAGAATTAATTACTTCTTTAGACTTTGGGCCTGTCTTGTTATTTGAAATCCATTCTTCTGTGTAATTTCTGCAGTCTGTAGCGTATGGATAGGGAAGCAATTTCTCTTGTTCCTAAAAGAAACATATAAAGATCTATTAAGTGTTTAATCCCAAAAAGCACATTTATTTATGTCAAAAATTATAAAAATTACTTTTTTTAATGGTTTGGGTGATAATGCTAAGTAAATTTACTTATGTAAATTTCTTCTAAGTTAATAAAAATAACAGAACTTTTAACCAATCTAAAATTTCCTAGTTGTCTCAGAGTAAAAGTAAGAGAAAAGGAAAGAAGGAAAGCTGAGAAATTAATATCTTTGATTGGAAAAAATTATTAGCATTGGAGTATCCACCTTCTTCGATTTGGAAAAGTAATTAGGCTTGGAGATGCATGAGGGGAATACTTTTTCTATGTTCTTCTTATGAACTATGGGGGACTCAACTTTGAACACTGTGACGGACAAGGGACATTTCAGGAATGCGATCCGAAAATACATCAGATGGATGTTCAGACTGCCTATCTGAATGGGAAAATTGATGACGACATATTTATGTCCCAACCAGAAGATTTAATAACTCCTGAAGGCAAAGTTTGCAAGCTCAAAAGGTCAATTTATGGATTTAAGCAAGCAGGATGAATGGGAATTCAAAAATCAAATAGAACTCTGCCGAAACTAAGATTCGAAAAAATTAATGTCGAATGATCGTATTTACGTACAAAATGTAACAAATGATGAAATCATAATAGCTACTTATGTAGATGATTTGTCAATTCTAACTAAAAGCGATTCTTTTAAGGTGCACATTAAGATAACTCCCAGCAAAAATTTTGAAATGAGGTGAAAAGGAAAAAAAAAAAAAAAAAAAAAAAAGTGGTGAAACCTGGGTAAAGTAAAAAAAAAAAGTGTTTAAATATTAAGGTTGAACAAAATAAAAATGTATCAATTAGCCAAATTTAGTACATAAAAGAACTCTAAGTAACATATGCAAGAATGTAAGCTTATATCGATACCGTTAGATCCTAACATTAAGTTATGCGAAACTTCCAACGTCGTTAAAGAAAATGAAAGTTCAGACAAAAATAAGTATCAATCTCTTAATCGGATTTTTAATTTACTTAGCTGTATCTGCACGACATGACATTGCGAATTCTGTTAGTAGATTTAGTCAATTTAGCACTACTCTCGGCATAGAAATACTCTCGGCAGAAAATCATTTAGGGGTTATAGTCTCATATTAGCAGAAAGCCCTATTTAATGAGAATAACGAAAAGAAAAAGCTGTAGCGCTATCAAATTAAAGTATACATAGCGTTAACTGGAGTTTCAAAGAAGAGATGCACATGCGTTTGCTATTACGAGATCTAACGACAACCAAAGTGCACAGTATTTGGTGAAAACTACAGTTCATCACTATCAAACAAAACACATTAATACTCGTTTTCATTATATTAGAGACTTGTACGGCGAAAAGAGAGTTGACTTTAAACATGTGTATACAGCAGAAATGCCCGCCAACATTTTAAAGAAGAATCTGAGCAAGACAAATATATAAAATGTACGAATATATTAGATCTTAAACTTTAATTCATGAATGCTTTTTATATTTTATTTCCTTTTAAGCTTTGCAGACGAGGTTGTTGGAAAATCTGCATTTACCTCTGTGTCTGCGGAGTGCTGAAAAAGGTGAAAAGTGCAGTAGTATTCTGCCATTTTATATAAAGTGATGGTATTATGATAATTGAATTTAACATGTAACAGGTTACGCACACTTGATAAACGAACTGGAACATTTTAGATTTGGCATGTTGTAGAAAATGGTGAACATTCCCCAAGAAATGGAATATAAGGGAAATAAATTAATATCAAGGAAATTTAAACAAAAGTCAATTTGTAGGGGGATCTTTTTTGATTGGTTTCGAAATCGGGACCTTCATTTTCTGAATCTGATATCTCACCCAACTGAGCTACGATGTGCTCGGTCGAAAGAAGTAATTGATCTACATTTTCCCCTTCTCAGGATCATGGAGGTAGGAAGTAAGATGGAGTCGCCCTAAACAAGTTTCTCCGTACCCTGCTCTGAAGCACCGGCGATCCCTACGTGGTGACCAAAACATTGGGTCATTTACCATTGAGTTCTATGGGATTTGACGCGTTCGGGTGTAAATATTTTGTAATTACGTCGCAAATATACATATAAATGTATATATTTTCTTTTTCTACAACACTTCAGAGTCCTAAGTATGTGAAAACAACATATTTTTAAAAACACATTTCATTCTGAACGGAATTAAATGCTATACTTTTCACAGGACAGTTTTCTCAGAATGGTTTAATTTGAATGAAATATTTTCACAAGTTTTCGTTAATTACATTAGAAAAAAAAATTAAGGTAATTCGATTTTATTCGGTTAAGGTACAAAAATTAAGATCAAAGTTTATTGTATTATTAATATTAAAATTATGCATTATTTCTTTTCTATTTATAGAGAGCTTCTTCTAAAATCCTAAAATACTTTCTTAAATATGACATGATTTTTTGGCTTCTTTTAAATCGAAAAATGTAAGTCAATTTATAATTAATGCTCTATTCGGTTCATTTTAAATTAGAGAATTATTAGGAATTAGCGAAATAATTTAAATAGTATTTGACTTTCTTTCTGAACATTTCTGAAAGGGAATAAAATAAGTTTTTTTTTTTTTTTTTAAAGTATTATTTAAAACTTGTAACTGAGTTATTATAAAATGTAAAGGGAATAATTCTTTTAATTATACTTATCAGATTTTTTTTTTTACCCTTCATTTCAACAATACATATTCCAAAACTCTTTATTACGTTCTTAAGTGCGCATCTCATAGCATTTGCTTTACAATACCTTTTAACAGATTGCTTTCCAATACGAACAATTCTTGCTTAAATAGTTTTATAACGTATTTGTCAACAGGATTTCAATTTATGTTTACAATTCAATATTAAGGTTATTATATATTTAGATAACATTTATAATCATTATAAATTAGATACATTTAATCATTAGATTTCTTCACAGTACTTTCACAGTTGTTTATAAGTGAATAAATTCTTCATTTCAAATACATTTATAAATAATTTAATGAATATTTAAGTATTTTGTCAAAGGCAGATACATGCTTTTTGCAAGCACATGCATAAATACCCATACATATTTCCTATTTATCATTTCCGGCATGTGCAAATCTTTAATTTCTGTGCATTCACTATATTTTTCGTGTAAAGTAATTTACACTAATTTAGCATACACCCGAAAGTTTTACATAAAAAATATATATGAATATAATTTGAATGAAAATTATAAGTATTATTTTTAATACCCACTCAAAGGTCAGTTTTTCTTCAAAATTCCTCCACGACGGCATCTCTCTCTTTAGGCAGATAGCCCTTGCATTTATAAATAATTTAATGAATACTTAAAATTCTATAAATGAATTTTATTTTTACTCTATTTAATAAAAACTTAATCTGACCTATGTGCCTAATTACAAATATTTTAACATACATAATTTTATATTTACATTTAGCCATCAAGTTTCAAACTTTTCAAATCTTCTAGAAAATAAATTTTGGCAGATCTCTTTTAGCAATTTTCTTAAAATCTATATTTTTGTAGTGCAACAGCTTAGAATTTTATAAAACAAATTCATAATCAAAATCGCTGTTGTTAGTTATCGAAAAATAACCAAGATGTGTGATTTTTGCGTAAATGTCAGTAAACTATACAAATTGCTATTATCCATCACACTATGAATGTTTCTTTCATGCGAGAGTGTCCCTTTTTCGATTTCTATGGAACTGTCGTGTGTCGAAATACTATCAGAATCTTGTCAAGCGAGCTTCTGAATGTAAACAAAAAACACCCCGTCTGGTGACCCAAGCTTCAAAGCAGTGCTTCGCTTCTAGCGCGGAATGGCCCCTCCTCCCTTTCCTACCTCCATGCTCAGGATGAAGCAACGTCCTGCAGACATCTGGTCTGGCTTCCTGTTAAGAGGTTTCCGGGAAATAATAGGTGTTCTTCTATTGCGTACTTGTTCCATTGAATCAAGATGGGGCTTCAGTCTCAGTTGGTAAACGATGTCTTTTGAACTCCTTCGTCTCCTATTTTGTTCCCGATCTGCGTCGTGCGTCACGTGAGATAGTTGTTGTGTTATTCGGTACCGTCGATAGCAACGTCTTAGGAGCTTTTTGGATAATCCGAAAAGCAACAAGGAGTAAGATAATCTGCAGGAAAAAAAAAAAAAAAATCCACCGGTTACCATTTCGGGTAACGGGAAAGCGTTCAAGGAGACCTATTCCAGTTTTGGCAAACAGCATGTCAGGTGAAGGTGTCCTGATGGAATTTTCGATGATTATTTCCGTCTTTAGCTTTCTCGACAGTGTGATGCTTACCGTCATGCAGCCCCAACGACTTCATATAACAGGTAGACGGCTCATTCCAAAGGGAATTCGTATGCTAGCCGAACCCCAGCATATACCACATGATTTATGGCCTTGGCGCTCTTGGGGAATGATAGCTTAGGCTGTTCATCGCAGGTTTGGCGCGCTTTTGATATGGCAGGGAGTGATTTTTTATTTCCGTCTGCTGGCAGTCGGCAGATAACTACCTGTAATTAGATCATTCATGTTTTTTACAATTTGTTTAGATATAACTTAATGCTTTTTTTCCTGAATATGTTATATATATTTTTACTAATCGCTTTAAATTATTTGCATTGTTGATTAAGATGTTTAGTTAAATAATTTTAGGAAGAAAATCTAAAATAAATAATAAAAATTGAGACGGAAGCTTTATTTTTTGAATAATATCTAAAAATTAAAATAGTAAAAATTAATTGCAATACTGTTAATATTTGAGGGGGTAAAAAAAATCTCGTTTATTTTTAATGCTATCCTAAAGAGAAAAAGAAAATCACATTGTAATATATGTACTTATGCAATTGATGAAACATATACTTACAAACTGTTGACTTTCAGCTGGAACCATAAACTATTACTGTCCAAACTTAATTTATAGTTTATGTTACAAAAAGATAAATTATACTG